GGTAGCAGAACATGTACAAGTTTTTCCATTACCGTGGTGTTTTTATGGGTTGAAGATTTTGGCAGGAACTGGTTCTGCTGCAATGCAACATTTAGCTTTTATCTAGGTTAATACAATATTGGGGTAGGTTGTCACCAAATGTTGAAGAAGGCTTTAAAGACTCTTCTCTGAAGTTAATGATTACTGAGGTGTATTACAAAACTACTTCTAATTAAAAAATGACAAAATTTATCAGAAGAGTTGATATTTAAAGTATGCAGGGACTCACAGCTGTGGCTAATTACAAGCAGTGATCTGCTTTGCAGACAAAGTAGCAGAGCGGTTAATAAAAGACTCTAAAAGTGAATAATTTCTTCAATATCTTTGTCAGCTCACAAGGACGTGAGATTGCCTGAAGGAACTGGCCTTTATTTACTGCTGCAGAAATATTTTTAATCTCTTTTATTAATTTAATCTTTTTGATCCTAGCTACAGTCTCAGCAATTTCAAAATTACTGTCCTACAAGCAATAGTGATGTTATAGGACAAAATAAAAGGGCTGCATGCAGCTTTGCCCATTTAATGTCATGTGTGTTTATTAAGAGGGCAGCAGACACCCAAAAAGCCCATATATAACTGTATGTGCTTAAATATTATTTATAACTAATGTAAACTACCTTTCAGGTCATTCTTTCCAATTGCAGCTTGAGAGAATGGGCATAAAAATGTCTAAATGTTTGCAGGGTGACCTTTTTATCATGAAAGCTTGGTCCTGTACCTCCTTCAGGAGCTTTTGCTGATATTCCTGCTCCAGCACTCAGAAGTGTCCGTGGGAGTGGATGATGTTTATGGCAGTGGGGCTGCAGAAGTCCCCCAGAGTGGACTCAGCCATGACAACACGAGTGGACTCAGACCTGTGTACCTTGCTTTGCACAAGGAATGAATTTATTTTTACTGTATCAGCATAAAACCACTCCTTTGCTGTTACAACTTTGACCACTCCAGCCATGTGCTGCTGATGTGTCAGTGCACCCAGTGTAAAAATAACCTGAAAGAGCCTAATCTGAGTTTGAAAAGATGACTGTGCTGACACATCTGCTGCGTGCAGGTACAGGAGCAAATATATTGTACAGAAGAGTCTTTTTATTCTAGCAGGAATGGTATAATGAGAATGAGGGGGTGGAAACCCAAGCCAGAAAATTCGAATATGAAATGAGATACACATGTTCAACTGTGAGGGTGATATGCTTTAGCCAAACACAACTTAGTGAGCTTAGTACAGGGGGAACTCGGTGAAATGTAATGGTCTGTGATATGCAGAGGGTCAGGTTCTATGATCTAATCATTTCTTCTGGCTGAAATCTCTTCATAAAAAAATCTAGTTCAAGCATAACTTACAGCCCAAAGAGAGGAGTTGCTGCCTGAAATTCAATGACTAGTGCTTGTACAAGGCAGTTAGAAATGCCCCTTCTGGCTTTATAGTCTATGGATGGATTAATGTGTTAAAGTAGCTTAAGGGTGCAACACATGCTGGCAAAAGCTGAAGCAGAAAGAAACTCCTGTTCAAGTGCTCTCAGACAGTGACTCCTGTTCAAGTGCTCTCAGACAGTGACTCCTGTTCAAGTGCTCTCAGACAGTGACTCCTGTTCAAGTGCTCTCAGACAGTGCAGCCTGTGGCCATCACAGCTCGGGCTGTGCTGGCAGGACACGGGGGTGGAGTGGAACTGCTGGGGATCCACAGGCCCTGCTCCATGGGGACGGGCTGTTCCTGTTCCAGGCTGATCCCGGGGCTGGATGGCTCCAAGCAGGCAGAGCACATCAGAGCCCGTAGAATCAGGAATTGTTAAGGTTGGGAAATACCATTAAGATTATCAAGTCACCATCAACCCAACACCACCTCTGTATTCACCATTAAACCACGTCCCCAAGTGCCACATCCACTTGTTTCTTGAACACTTCCAGGGATGGTGGCTCCACCACTGCCCTAGGCAGCCTGTCCTAATGCTTTACAACTCTTTCTGCTGTTTCTTTTCCCTAATATCCAATTTAAACCTCCCCTGGCACAACTTGAGGCCATTTGCTCTCGTCCTGTTGCTTGTCACCTTCCAGTCTGTGCACGCTGAGCCTGCTCTGCACCAGGAGCCAAAAGAAGTGGGGAGGAGGAGGAGATTCATTACCCAGGAATGGTCTCAGTCCAACACAGGACACTGATATGGGCTGATCCTAGAGCAGCATTCACTTTAAATACTGTGCCCATGTGTAAGGTATTTTCCCACCTGTCCAGCAGCACAGGAAAGCAGTGTGCTCTTACTTTCCTACAACTCTTAGAATGCAAAATCTTGACTGGGGCTCGAGGCTGTAACTCGTGACCCTCAGCACTTGGCTGTTGGGTGATGCACACAGACTCCTTGAGGCCAAAGATGAGGTTCCTTCAATGCCACACTGAAAATGCAGCATCTCTTTGCTGCAGTCGTCCCATGGGCAGGAGTCTTTCAGTGAAGAGTTGTGACATGTAGTAGGAAGATACGTTAGCTGTACATTTCCTTTTGTAAAGGTCTTGGAGAGGTGAGATCTGCACCAAAAATGGGTTCCTTGTTTTGAACTAACACAGTCCTGGGCCAGTCAGGCGATAGTACATAAATCTCTCCAGTGACAGCTCTGCACTGGGTTGTTCCAAGAAAGGCAAAGGGGCGAAGTCCCAAGAAGAGCTCCAGATGTTACTGATTTTTTCCCTGTTATTAGCAATTACTCACTTGGAATTCTCTAGCAGTTTTCCTTCTTAATAACAGACTGTGGAAGAGTCAGCAGAATCATGACCAACCAGATCATGAAACTTGCCAGTGGTGAGAACGTGCACAAGCTCTGAAAGAGGAAGCGCTTCCAGCAAATGCTGATTTGGATTTACTCATTTTTCTTGATTTATAAAGAAGGATTTTTTCCTTCAGTGTTTGTACCTAACCAATGCCAGTTGTATTCTTCAGAAACTGCAATATTCCTTTAAATATCATTTTATTGCCTAAGATACAGCTCCATCCCCAGACTCATGTTTTATATCCGAAACTGTCTTTTAAGATGTATTTATTTCCATGTTTGTTTAACTTGGTTATCTCCTTCATCGATCTATTTCTTGCTAACTTAAAGCTGCTGCTCTTTGTTTTTAGTAGGGAAAGCTGCTTCCCCAGGGATGTATAGTCCAGGACTTGTCTCTGTAATGGGACTATTTGTTTTCTTTGCCCCTTGCAGTTGCCTGCTGTAACATTTGTAGTATGTGTTAAGTAATCCTTGAGGTAACATTTTTATTATGTCATAAAAAGTGCGTGGCAAATATATAATAACTCATGGAATTTGTTTGTTTAAAATGGAAGGATAATTTATTGAGTGTGTTACATGAGACCTGCTCCCCCTTATTAGAGCTGTAGAAGTGCAGCTTATTTAGAAGTATGTTCTATTGAGAAAAACCACGATCTCTGACATGCATAGAAGGTTTGAGCATGGTTGGGTAGAAATGACATCATAGTTTATGTACTCAATAAAAATTTAATTAAGTCATTACAGAAGTTGCAGTCATCATTTAACCCTCTGATTTCTTATGTTTAGTTCTTTTTTTAAACATTCAATAATAACCAGTCTCCAAATCTTGATAGCCTATAAAATATCTGCATGAATTTTAATAGTTTATATTAATGGAAAAATATGAGTAACTGACATAAAAGGAATTTTCCTTGTGTTTGCACTATGTGCATTGCTATAAAAATCAACAGATGAAAAAAGACAGTGGTTTAATGGAAGAATATGTGAACTGGAGATTTGCTCACTTGGCAAAAACTAACTCCTGTTTTGACAGAAAACCTGTTGCATAATTACCGAGTTGAATACTCATAAGGATGCTGAGAGTGCTCAGGACAAGAGGTTCCCAGTGTGATGGGCTGTACCTCGAGGACCCTGCACTCCTGTTCTCTGTCTTTGTTTTGTAAAACTTGTCTCCAGGCTCAGTCTCACACCTGAGTGTCCTGCTGGTGTGCAGGGCTTGATTATCCTTGTCATTTATAGTTCAGTAGAAAAGAAATGCTTGGATCCCTCACGAGAGCCAGTACAAAGCAGCAGCTTTGCTAACGTGTAGCTGAGCCCTTGGGAGAGGAACTGAATCACTTTGGTGATAGAGGCAAAAGGGACAGACCGTGCCTGAGGAAGGTGCACAGGAGGCATTTCAGCCATCCCTCTGCATCCAGCAGTTGCTCCAGTTCCATCTTAAGCTCACATGGGGTCAGTTCTCAAGCCAATGGGTGGCTTAGGCCAAACCAGCAAATATTTAAGCAGTTGTTAAATTTAGTTGAAAGTCAGTGTGGAACTTGGACCGAGGCACACAGCATTAGGGGGAAGTCGCTGGATCATCACAAACTCTGAAAGAAATTTAGTCATAGTCAAAAACTAGTGAGTGTGAGCTCCCAGAGATGCTGTAGAGGCAGAATTCATGTGCTTGCTGACTGAGAGCCAGTGCTGACAGGTAAGGGGGGAGCAGTGGCAGGGATGGTGTCTCTGTCTTTAGCATCCCTGTACTTTCATTGCAGTGGCACATCCAGTTCTGCAGTCCGTGCTTTGGGGGAAAAAAGTTGAAAAACCGTTGAGTTTCTAAGAACGAATCAAGGTCTGGAAAAGCTGCTCAATAGTTAAACTACAGAGGAGTCTCCATTCTCTTGGGCTGTGCTGGCACTGCAAGGACAGCTTTGCTTCCTGCTGCTCCAGCAACGTTTTCTCTCCACTCGTGCAGTGGTGGCAGAGCTGTTGGCTCGGGATGGTTCTGCCAGTTGTATATTGAGTAACACCAACTTCATTTGTGTCAGAATGAACAGAGCTGTGTCTCAGGGGGGTTCTACAGGGACTGACTGCACCAGGGTTTTGCTTGCAGTTTTGCTTTGCTGGGGCACTGGTTCTTCTTTGCCTGCTCGCAGTGAAACTGGTAATATTTTCTCCTCACCCCCTCTTTAGAGCCTACACTCATGGTTTTCTGGTTTATTTTTCAGATTAATTCTGTTGCTCTAAAGGAAGATTTGAAAAATATGGTAGAAAATTTCTATGCAGCTCTATTTGGATACGATGAGGTAAGAAGGATGTTTTCAGTGAATGTGCCACAACTGGGCCATCTAATTCATGAACACAGAAGATTCCAGATTGGTAGAACATTCAGTGTCCATATCTTTGGAGAAATGTTACGTTAGGGAAGAGACTTCTTAGTTATGTACCCTGAATGAAAGGACTTTTAAGAAAACAGCACAGAGCACATGGATTTAAACCATGGGATGTGGAAGGGGTTAGGGTGTTCTTGATGCTACTTCTCCATCCCTGCTTGGCCATCACTAAATCATTTCCTTCCTCTGAATCCCATTGTACTAAGCTGTACTTTGAAAACAAAGTATTTATGGAGTATTTATAGGGAGTCTATGTGAGAATATTTATAGGCAGTACTTAATAATATGTGGGGGCAAAAGCACCACTGTGCACAAGTGTCTGCAGGACTTCCAAGAGGAAAATACAATGACATCATCTCTTTTTGTAGTTATTTTTTTGCTCTAGTGAGTGTTGCTCTTCAGATGCTCTTATTCACATAGTGGTACTATTTCTTTGCACAGTGATTTGCATTATTAATATCTTGTAAATGTAAACTCACAGAGTTGTGGACAGTGTTACACATACAGATTTATAAACTAGTTATAACTAGATGTGTCTGCCTGTGTTTTGTTGACAGTCTTTTTGGAAGCAAAATGTCTGCTTCAATTAAAGACAAATGTTGACTTTTTTTATTTTTAACTGAATATTTTACAGTCCTGTTTTGCCTTTGGCAAATGTACTAGCAGAAGACAGGAGTTAAGAGACTATAGTGATAATTCCACATAATCTAAAAAGACAATAAAAGTGGGAGAGGATTTGGACGAAAAGCTTCATGGATGTGGTTCCTATATAAACCAAAGCCAATATTAGATTTAACTGGAAAAATCTACATGGTTCTTGATGAGGAGGAGTTCTCTCTCATTTAGAATGAAAAGTAAAAAAGCAAAGCAAAACAGCAAAATCCAGACTACATTTCTGCAACGTTGGATTAAATGTACTTTAATTTTTCTTTTCCAAGCGTTATGGGCTTCACACATTCCCATGAGATGGTGCTGCCTTCTCTGCAAGGTCACCACTTTTATGGTAAAAATTTCATAACACAGAAATGCAGTTATCAACTCCTGCATTAGGAATACCCTGACCCAGGTTTTTTTCCAAATTAACTTGCCAGAATATTGGTTACAGGCTGCTCTGTAAATTAATTTAAGGCCAGGGTTGTTTTTCCATTCTGGGAAAGAGTGATGTTGCTGCCTTTCCATGTGCAGGGCCCGTGGCAGCTGTGGCTGGGAGACAGGTGCCATGGCCAGGGGCCAAGTGCACTGACGTGGGTGTCTCGTGTTCAGACCCTCTTCACGTGCAGTTTTTAATCTCCCTCTGTACTTCCTTTAGGGAATCTTGTCTGATGATCATGTTCTGGCAGCAGCTCTTTGGAGGAACCTTTTTAACAGGAACTGTGACGACCCTCGGCATCTGGAGTTACTCGTGGAGTACGTGCGCAAACAGGTACGGAGGGAGGCTCCTCCCCAGCCTCTGCTCTACAATAGTGAATACTTGTTTTTATTGCTTGCATATGTAGCTCAGTTCTCATAAATAAATCTGATTTTAATATTCAGTGATCATGTTTAAGGAGAAAAAGGTAAAAATATAAAATCTGGATTATATTTATTATAGAATCGGAGACTATCCTGGGTTGGAAGGGACCCACAAGGATCATCCAGTCCAACTCCTGGCCCTGCACAGACACCCCAACAATTCTCCCCTGTCCCTCAGAGCATTGTCCAAACCCTCCTGGAGCTCTGGCAGCCTTGGGGCTGTGCCCACTGCCCTGGGGAGCCTGGTCAGTGCCAACCACCCTCTGGGGGAAGAACCTTTTCCTGAGATCCAACCTGACCCTGCCCTGGCACAGCTCCAGCCATTCTCTCAGGTCCTGTCACTGGTCATCAGAGAGAAGAGATCATTATTGCAGTTTGGTGAAAAGAGAAGCTCACAGAATGTTGAAAACAATCCTGCTCATCTCTTTCTGGACATCTGCTATGGAGGGGCTTGAAAAATCTGTCAGAAATGGGCTGCAGCTTGTTGTAGGTTATAATTGTTGTTTTGGAGCTGGCATCCTCATAGTGAAATAGCTTGAAAGTCTCTGATGATCTTTGGGGGAAAGAAGGAAAAGGTTTTGTTTTCAAGACTAATTTCTGTTTCTTTCAGTTATTATCTGGAGGAGACACTGAGTGGTGTTTGTCCTCTTAACCTTGAGGAGGTTTGTGATTAAGGTTCTAGAAAATGTTCGTGGGATACAGTCCAGGTGGGCATCAAAGAAAAGGGTGAGAGAGGTTCTGGAGGAAGAGTGTGGGGTGTTGGACAGGGAATTGAGGACCAGAATTTCCACGACATCATTCCCTGTGATGTTTCCAATACTGTATTCAGGATCAGATAGAGGTTTAGAGAGAAAGTATTTCAGTTTGTGTCTGAGAAAACAGCATGGGAAATCAAGGGCTAGGCTTCCCAAGGGATTGAGGACACTTTGGGGATGCCAGAAGGCTCTCAGGAGGGACTGGCTTAATTTAATGCTGAGGGTTGCTGATGCTTAACATCAGTGGGGCTGTAGGAAAGTTTGCAGAGAGCAAACACATGTAAGAAGTCGCCTGGGACAATTTCCTGCCAGATGGGGAATTTGTTGCACTTCTGTATATTCAAGCAAAGGTCAGAAGCAATCAGCAGTTCAATAGGAAAGAGTGATCAGGTGGAAAAAAGTGGCACATTGGGGAGGAATCAGCACAGGTTCTGTGCAGACAGGTCATTCCTGCAGACAGGTGGTGCACTTGAGAACATTCCCAGCTTTACAGATATGTCATTGAGCTCTGAACTTTTACCACACAAGAATGAGGCCTTGAGATTACAATTGTTTTATCAAAACTTCAGCTCAGCACTCTGTAGTGTTTAAAAAAGTGTAAAACAAATGCTCAGAACTATTAAAGAATAGAGAATAAAATGGTGCTGTCCTGCCACTTTTTACATCCATGGGACCTGTATCAGCTTGAATAATGTGTCTGGTTTGGGTGCTGACCATCAAGACAGACAAAACCTGAACTGGAGAAGGCTCAGAGAGGAGCAGTAAGGGTGACAGTGAAACAGCTCCTTTATTAGCAAAGAGCAGGATCCCCTGTCCAAAAACAAACAGCTGAGAAAGAATAGGAGATAGCTCTGGGAAATCCTGAAGGCATGTGAAAGGTGAGCAAGGAAAGGTGTTCAGTGACACAGGAACGGGGGGACAGAATGTTGCCACTGCACATGGATTCCAAAGCCACTGTCCAGGGCCATTACAACCACTTCAGACTCAAATTCCCTGAAAGAAAAGATTTTGAGAGGGAGGGAAAAGAAATCAGGAAAATAGCGTTTAACTGCTCCTGGGGACTCTGCAGGTGGTGGCTGTCAGGAGCAGGGCACTGTGCTTAGGTGGCTTTTTGATGTGGCCATTGGTGCATTCTTTCCTCTGTTGAGAAACTCCTTGTCCCATTATCCTTTGTTTCCAGTAACATTGTGTACCAGGTCTTCCCCACAATTTCCTGTGGATCCTTCTTTAACAGTGGCTATTAGTGGATGCCAGAGAAGAACATCCTAACAAAGCAACATGTGCACTGTGCCCCTGCTCAGCTCTCCCAGCCTTCCTGAGCCAGCAGTGCTTGGCTTGGCTTTGACTGACCCTTGAGGGACTATTTTCCTTTTCTTTCCCCTCCCTGTATTTACAGTGTCCTGTGGCAGCAAGTTAATCCTATGCTATATGGCAAGAGGTTTTTTTATTTTGCTTAAATTTCATTAAATCCCCAAGTATTTTGCCCAGAGAAGCTGTGGCTGCCCCATCCCTGGGAGTGTCCAAGGTCAGGTTGGATGGGACTTGGAGCAACCTGGGATAGGGGAAGGTGTCCCTGCCCATGGAGGGAGTGGAATGGGATGGGCTTTAAGGTCCCTTCCAACCCAAACCATTCTGGGATTTCTTGCATTGTGAGGATGAGTGTTCATTCCATGTTCATCTCCTCCAGCTCCTGTGCATTTATGTGATAAATCCCAGGTGCTCCCTACTGGTCAGGCCTTTTTTGTGTGGTGAAAAGCCTCAGTCTGTGTGAAGCCCTTTTAATGAGAGCCCTCCACAGGGTGATGAGATGGGCAGTGTCACCTGCAGGAACGCCAGGAAGATAAAATGACTCACGGCAGCTCTGCGTGGCTCCTCTTTGCCCTGATGCCAAACTCTCAGAGGAGGCATTAGCTGAGGCATTAGTGGAGAGGCTGACGCAGGTCACTCCAGAGGATCTGCAGATCCTTATCTCCCAAGCCTTTCCATGGTGCTTTGCAGTCACAGAATCACAGAACACGCTGAGTTGGAAGGGACCGACAAGGATCATCGAGTCCAGCTCCTGGCCCTGCACAGGCCCATTCCCAAGAGTCACCCCCTGTGTCCCAGAGGATCTTCCAAACCCTCCTGGAGCTCTGGCAACCTTGGTGCTGTGCCCACTGCCCTGGGGAGCCTGGTCAGTGCCCAACCACCCTCTGGGGGAAGGACCTTTTTCTCTCATATCCAACCCAAACCTTCCTGACACAACTTCAGGCCATTCCCTCGGGTGTTGTCACAGCGGGGAGCGATCTTTTTAGGTTCTACCTCGTGCAAATGGCGAAGTAGGCGAAAATCTCCCTGTTGTGCTTGCCTTCTGCACGTGTTTGTGCAGCTCTTGATGGGACTGGGTGATGGGACCGTGGCAGTGACTTGCTGTGCTTGCAGGTGCAGCACCTGGACGCGCTGAGCGGGGAGGACCTGCTGCTGACGGGCGAGGTGAGCTGGCGGCCGCTGGTGGAGAGCGACGCCCGCAGCATCCTCAAGCCCCTCTCCCCCGTGTACAACGACGAAGGACTCTGAGATCCCTGTCGGAACAGCTTGGGAGGCGTGCCTCAACTGGGACTGGGCTGAGGCTGTGGGCTCAGGAAGGAAAATCTGCTGTTGGAAGAAAAATGTTTCATTAGCTATCCCATCCGTGGTGCCTCAGTAGCAACCTGGACAGCCATACTCCTCTGAACCTTCACCCGCAAGTAAATCCTCGTTGGTTTGAGAACCTCTGTCCTTTTTATGGCCCTGAGTGGCCCTGGCTGTCAAATGGACAGAGCTGCCTTCTGTCTTTAGGAAACCAGGTATTCACCGTGACATAGAGTTCTCTCAAGAAGACATTTCTGTCCTTTGCCTCGTTTAAAGAGCTGCTACCCAGAGACACAGTGGTGTCCTCTGCTCCCTGAATGGTTGTCAATGCAAATCTGAGCTTTGCATATTAGATGTTAAATATGTATTTTAAAAGCCTGATATTGAGATGGAACGGTCCATCTTTGCTTTAGTGGAGTTAAGAATTGCTTTAAAAGATTCTGAAGGGTCTTCTGTGAAAATCCTTTTTAGAAACTCTGCTCTGTTGCACAAGAATGAGAGAATGCAAAGAATAATGCACGGTCCCCAGCAATCCTGAGTGTCTCTGGCCATCTTAGGGAGATTAAAGCCCAAATCATGGCTGGGCTGGCACTAAAAGCTGCCTCAGTACTTGATGTCCAGTCTGCCTTGCTGATACTTCCATGTTCTCTGTAGAGTTGTGCTCTAGGAATTTCTTCCTGAAAAGAACATCCCTGTTTGTGTCGCTGGGACAGGACTCTGCCATCCTCCTTACCCCAAAACATGGTCCAGGGCTTTTTAACAAGACCCATCAGTGCCAGAGAAAACTTTCTATGGCTGTGCAGGCAAGTGATGCCAACACAGTAATTAGGGGAGCAGGAGCTGCACTGGTGAGATCAACAGAGGCTGAGGTGCTCTGTGTGGGTGGAGGGTTCACCAGGCTGTTTCCAGGTCAGTGGCAAAACCAGTTTTCATTTCTCTCCTGTCCAAAATCCAAGTCAATAATAAATGTCAGTCTGGGTAAAATTGCTGTGTGTTTGTTTTTTGTGCCCTGTGTGCTTTTGATAAGAATAAGCCCTATAAAATCAGGGCTTATTCCTAATAAAAATATTAAACAAAAGTCGAAGGTGATAGTCCTTAATTTATGAATTTAATCCTCAATTTGTGACTCCTTAATCTGGGGAAAGTGTGACTGTGCCTGGCTGTGGCTGTTCTTCCTTCTCAAGTTGCTTTCTTCATAGTGTGTGTGCTGGGGAATATTTGCCATCCCTTCTCCATGCAGAGAGCAGTGGGATGCAGGATAGAGGCTCCCAAACACTGCCTTGTATTTCTTTTTTTAAATCTTCTCTTAGGGAGCCTTCTGTGTATAAAACAGGCATTTTGTTATTTTTTTTCCAAGGCGAACTTCCTCAGTTTAACTTGTTATAAAATGAGTCATGTAAAGAGCCCCTCTCTGTGTGAGGTGTATCCCTTCTCTGTGAAAACATTACAGCCCAAACAACTTGCTTGCAGTTTATTTAAGATGCTTTTGTTGAAAGCTGAGCTAAGCAGAGAAACCTCTTATGTGTGAAGTATTATACAGTGTGTGTGAGATAATAACACCTTGTAATTCATTACAGCTGGCTTGTATTTACATAAAAGAAGGCTGAGCTGTGTAGGAATTTGCTGATTAATTTATTTTTAATGAGAGTGAAGTATACCAAGTACCAAAATAAACTTTACTTTGTGTATCTTACTGCTCCTGAAATAGGTGGAAAAATTAATGGTAGATATTTTGGCTCAAAGCTACATACATTAATTCATATACAAAACAGTTATTTAAACTTTAACCCCTTTCCTGCTATGTAATTTAAACCTGGACTCATGTTATCCATGCCATGGGAACACGGGACTGGGATTCCACCACCATCCAGCCTGAGAGACCGTGTCCATCTGCGGTGCCCATGTGAAACCAGGAGCTGCTGGAATTCCTGGGACAGCTGGTCTGGAGGTGACAATGCCCTTTGTACTCCGAATGTGGTCAAAATGGAACCCTTCCCTGTGTTTATGGGCAGGAGGCTCCAGAAATGATGGTGCCAGATGCACTCATTAGCATCTGCCTTTGCTCCTTTTATTAGGGTGAGAATAAAGACCTGTAATGACGGCCCTGCCTGGGCCATGAAATGCTGCACCCACCCGCTGGCTGGGCTGGGCCAGCACTGGGGTGTGTTTGGGGGTGTGGGGCCTGCTGAGAAAGTAAGGCAGAAACTGTCTCTGAGTTATAAAAAGGTAATTTGTTAGAGAGGAAACATCCACTGGAGGCTACACAGGACCAGGGAAGAGTTTGCTTCCCAGTCATTAGTTACCCGGAGACAGGATCTGGATGTACAATATTAGATGGGATATTGGGAAGAAATCCTTCCCTGGGAGGGTGGGGAGGCCCTGGCACAGGTTGCCCAGAGAAGCTGTGGCTGCCTGTGAATCCCTGGAAGTGTCCAAGGCCAGGTTGGATGGGCCTTGGAGCAACCTGGGCTAGTGGAAGGTGTCCCTGCCCATGGCAGGGGGTGGGACTGGATGTGCTTTAAGGTCCCTTCCTATACAAACCATTCCATGATTCTGATATGACCTCTCTTACTCTCAAGAGGTGAAGAAAGGTGAGCTGGAAAGGTGCCATTGCCAGTATCTTATATAAGACATCTTCCTTTACAACCAGAATTTTAGAGTCCTTGAAAGAAAATACATTTCCAGTAGCAAAACCTGCTCCCTGCAAGTGTTCCAGCAGCAGTGACTGGCAGGGGAGTGATTCTTATGCACAGCACTGCTCCAAGGGCAGCAGAACAGAGGGGCCTGAACCAAACATTGTAAAGCCCACCTTTTCCCATTTTCAAGGTTTTCCACAGGGAATGATTGAAGGTGTTTTGCTTATGGACAGTTCTTTGTGCTGCTGGGTTTTTGGAAAGTGGTCTCAGAGCATCGGCTTGGGGGCACTTACTGTATTTCAAGTGAACATATGCACATGCATTTCTTCTGGAAGGAACCTTGTAAAGCACTTTATCATCCATCCTGATCTCCTGTCTCATATACAGAATTTGGACATCACTGGTTATTCCAAAGGACTTATTCTCCCAGCTTTCCCAGGTGTCTTAAAATGAAGAGCCATGAGCCCCTAGGAAGCACTCAGGATTTCAGCTGGATCTTGGCTTGCTCTCTGTGAGCAGAAGGGCCACTGCTCAGTGTCTTCCCTTCCTTCTCTCCTGGTTTGCACTAGTGGGAGAGCAGGAGCATGTTTTGCCTCACAGGGTCAAACTTGGGAAAACTCTTGCTTCAGGCTGATTTTCTTAAGGCATTCTGGAGTAGGGCGGAGTCATCTGATACCCTTCGATGCCCACTCTCTATTTTAGGTGTTTAAATGTTTTTCTGTGCCATCTCAGCTGCTGTGCTCACACCACATTTGGATATTGAACTGTTTTCCCTGCGTCTTTAAAGCATTGAAGTGCTGAGAGCATGGGCACCCTGGGTGATCTCTATTCCTGTGCTGTCCAGTGCTTAAGCCCTGCTAAAATGCAACTACCACTTCCCGGATTTGTGACTCCCATCTGCACCGTCCATGAAGTGACATTTTCAGCTTTGCCTCTGCCCCACCAAGCCCTTGGGTCAGAACTGCTGCTCCTGACCTGGCAGTTGGACTCACCACTGTCCTGTGTCCCTTATCCTGCCCCTGGCTTGGAGGACTGAGTAAGAGTGAATTTTTCCACTAGAGCTTTATATCAGATGAACGTAGAGCAGATGAAGAGTAGCAAAGCCATAGGAAGGTGAGCATCAGCTGGGAGGGGACTGGTTCTGCAGGCCCAGTCCCTGTGATGTGCCACTGCCACTTCATGGCACTGTTTTGAGGAGCAGTGGGAGCTGTGCCTGACCCTGTGCCCCACTCGTATTTTTCCACATTCTCCTACTTGCAGCATTTCTGTGGGACTGGTTTAATCCTGAGCACATAGCAAGGGTTGTCTGCATCCCAGGGATGTGCTGAAGTGCCTCTTGAGCATTTGGAGAGGTTTGCTGATCCCCTCTACAGGTGTGCTGAACAATTCCTGGAGCTCCGCAGCCAGACTGTGTGTGCTTTCTTCCAGGAAGATGAAAGTCATGGTGGAGGGAATTGGAAAGGTTTAAGTTAACACCTAGAAACTTCTGTGTTTTTCTAACTTTTCTGCCAAGAGAGTTGTGCCACAAATACAGTGGTCATCTCAGGCCCCAGTGCAGGGGTTTGGTTGTGAGTACGTGGGGTTTTTCCTTGGATGATGCTGGTGGCAGCTAATTTAGAATCATAGAATATCTTGAGCTGGAAGGGACCCACAAGGATCATCGAGTCCGACTCCTGTCCCTGCGCAGCACACCCCAAGAATCCCACCCTGTACCTGAGAGCATTGTCCAGATTTCCTAGTGGAGACCCCCCTGCAGAGGCTCCTGCTCTCCCCATCTGCCTCCTCACATCTGCTGCGCTTTGTCTGATCTTTGTTGGCTCCCTGATTAATAAACCCTAATCAAGGCTTCTTTGCTCTTTTTCCTACAAGAGGCTGTGATGAGCCTGTGCCCTGTCCTTGCCACTGACCTGGGCTGTGTCCAGCTTGCCTGGGCCTTTAGGTACCCAAGGCTGGATGAACCCCCCTTGCAGCCCTCTGGGTGCTGGTTCTCCTGTGCTGTGCCATAGGGAGCAGTGTCTCCATCTCTCGGGCACGTTGTCTGCATGGCCTGGCCCTGAGTGCTCTCCATGTTCTCCTGAGAAGTCAAGGAGAGGGCAGGAGCTTACAAGGGAGTCCGGGAAACTTGGTGAGGACATAGGACAGACTCTGAGGCTCAGCACGAGTGAGCAGTGGGCTCTGCTGCTTGTGCAGTGCCCACCTCTCCCCTGTGTGCCAAGGGACTGTCCCTGAGGGTGCTGTTGGCTGCACTGTGATGGGGCAGTTGCACATTAACAGTCTTGTGATCCTTCCCAGACTCCTCTGGTGAGGGTTTTTTTTTACCACTGCCCCTTCTTCAGGTGTTCAGGGCTGTCCTGTGCATCCTACCTGTGTTCTTCCTGAAGTTGCTGAACATGTTGAGGGAGTACTTGTTTTGCTTACAGTCATTCAACCTGCTGAGCAGCTTGTTCTGCTCATTTGTGGGACAGAAGAGATGGTTGGGCCTCATCCTTCCACTGGGAATGCAGAGCAGGAGCTCACAGGAGTGTGATTCCACCTTCTGCTGTTACATTTCAGTGGCTGCTCCAGATGTGATGTGCTGAGAGGAGCCAGGGAGTTTAGTTCCGATGGCAAAGGGTCTGCTGGAGGGACCTGGAGCAGGTTACTGGGAACACTTCCCTGCACACAAATGCAGGAACTATCAACATCTACTGTCCTGCTCTTGCTGTCTCGTGCAGGTGCATTCATGTAGGAGGGCCCTGCACATGCTGCCCAGCCTGGATCCTGTTGGGAAGCTGCTGCAGCTCTCCCGGGGGGTGAGAGCTCCTTCGTGCTTATTTCGGGAGCGAGGAGCCCTGCACAGTCATTGATGACTCTGTCACTGACTGAAACAGTGAGCTGGGCTCCTGCATTCCTCATCCCACCCGCCAGCTCCTGGGCTGCTCCACATCCTGTCAAAAACCAGGCATCTCATGCAGATTTACTCACTGTCCCACATCCTTCCCTGTGTACCCTCTTCCTGCTGGTAGCCAGGCCCACTGATGTTACAACGCCCACTTCCATTCCTGTGTATTCCCTTTGGAAGGAGGGAAGGAAGGGGTGTCTGAAAGTGCTTTTTCCCGTGTTCAGCCCAGGGCAGCAGCCGAGGGAGTGGCACAGGGTGGTCCCTCTCCTGACAGCTGTGCCCTGAGCAGCTCGGGGCTGGACCTTGGAGGGCCACCACAGCAGATCCATGGCCACACACTGGTTTCCCTGCATGGCACAGGGGTAGTTGGGACCTCAGAGCTGCAACAGGAGAGAACCTGGGAACATGGTGGGAACACTGCTGGGCACGGGGGTTCCCTGCCTCCCCTGCCATCACTTGTGGATGGA